TCTCCTACAGGGGATGTGTTGCTCAGATGTTCTTCTTTTTGGCTTTTGCCACTGCAGACTGTTTCCTACTGGCTGTCATGGCTTATGATCGTCATGCAGCAGTGTGTAAACCCTTACATTACACCAGCACTATGACCACCAGTGTGTGTGCTCAAATGTCCATAGGCTGCTACATCTGGGGCTTAGTTGAATCTGCCATCCAGACTGGATTTACCTTCCGCCTCTCCTTCTGCCGTTCCAATGTGGTCCATCACTTTTTCTGTGATATTCCTGCAATCTTAGCTCTTTCCTGCTCTGATATTGACATTAATGAGATTGTGCTTTTTATCACAGCAGCTTTCAATGTCTTGTTTGCCCTAACAGTTATCTTGACCTCCTATCTGTTCATATTTATTACAATTCTGAGGATGCGCTCAGCAGAGGGACGAAAGAAAGCCTTCTCCACCTGTGCTTCTCACCTCACTGCTGTCACCATATTCTATGGAACTGTAATCTTCATGTACTTACAGCCCAGTTCTAGTCACTCCATGGACACTGATCAAATGGCATCTGTGTTCTATACAACAGTAATCCCCATGTTGAACCCTATTGTCTACAGTCTACGGAATAAAGAGGTTTATAATGCCTTCAGAAAAGCCACTAAGAAGATGAAGGTTCTACGCAGCATATAGTTTCAGATGGAGAGATTATACATCTATGTAGTCAATCTGCTGTCTACTGCTACGCAACCAACTGCCACTAAACTTAGTGGCTTAAAACAACACCTTTTACTTCTCATAATTCTTAAACAAATGCTTTGCTCCTTTCACATGAGCTCACTCATGAGGTAGCATATCTTCTGCATAGTCACCTGGGCTGAAAAGTTCAACAAGGCCTTACTCACATGTCTGCATGTTGATTCTGGCTACTGTCTACCTCTGTTCCACATGGTCTTTCATCCTCCAGATCATAGACCAACTTTCTTTCATAATATTTTCACGCCAGCATCCTTACAGTGTCATCATTTCACTTCAAGAGTGTGTAATGAGGCCAAACAGTGAAAAGTCTAGGTGGCCTTATATCAACTAAAAAGGAAATTGGGTGAGAGATACATAGGACTTGTCTGTTTAGAATCACTGACATAAAATACATAATCATTTATGGAGTATTTTGCAAATTGAACCAGGTAGGAAACTTATTATAGTCTCATTTTGTCTTTTTACAATGTGCTAAATAAAATTTCTTTTATGTATTGTTTTTCAGTTAATGATAAATACTAATAAAAAATAATTAAGGTAGTTTGATGAAATCCATTTGATAGTGTGTGGCTAAAAAATTAGAAATAGAAATAGTTAGTGAGAATATAGGGGGACTATCTAGCCATGTTTCATGAAATGCTGTAAAATTCTATAATTCTATTGATTCATTGATTGATTGGAGAATGAGAGAGAGAGAGAGAGAGAGAGAGAGAGAGAGAGAATAAAAGAGAGAGAGATTTGTTGTTCCACTTAAGCATTCATTGGTTGCTTCCTGTATGTGCCTACCCGGGAATCCAACCAGCAACTTGGGCATATCGGGATATTGGGAGCACACTCTTACCCACTGATCAACCCAGCAGGGCTTCTAAAATCCTTTCTGAAGAATTCTATAAAGGATAAAGAACTTTCATAATTTGTAGTGGTTCAAATATATTGACTGAGAGACTGAACTTTTAATTAATTAATTAATTTGTTTATTTAACAAAGGTTTATTGAGAAATTAGTCTAATCCAGGCTATAATTTATGTATTGGAAATGAGTTATTAGGGAGACAAAGTGACTCCTATTGTGCAGTGTTTGCTCTCAGTAGGGAAGTATATAAATAATTATAGTAGTTTAATAGTTGAGTCCAGGTGAGAATTATGAAGAGTAAAGAAAGGAGTGCAAGGAAGGAATAGTGTCCACTGGGTGTGGGGTGACTATGGTATGATAACATTTAAGCAAACACCTGCAGGAAGTGAGGGAGCTTCCTGAGCATTGGTAACAGCAAGTACCAAGACCCTGAGGCAGGAGCATGTTTGGAGCTGTCCAGGAAAAGCGAGGAACTCAGTGTGACTGAAGTGGAGTGAATGAGTAGGAGAGGAGGGAGACATGACGGAGCTCATCTAAGACTGAAGCATCCATGAATGAGTGCCATTAACCTTTTTATAGTATTTTCTTTTAAGTCTTCCAGCAGATTATTAGCAAGAATGTAGACATTTTTAAAAAATCCCCATTGTCATAAATATAAATGGAGGTTTTCAGCCCTGGTACAAGCTGGATAAAAAAAATTTAAAGAAGAAATAAAAAACCCAATAGTGTATCGACATTTTTTCCCACTCATTTGCCATGCTGACAGTGCAAATACAAATGTGGTCTAAATGTACAGACTAGCAAGCCACTGTGTACAGTCTTTCTTTGTCCTCCATGCTAGGAGATAGAAAAGTTTAAGGGTCAAAAAGTACCAAATGTACAGGCTTCAAAAACCATCTAAGTTAGGGCATTCACTAGTTTAACTAAGATACATTTAGAACACTGACAAGTGATCATTTCTGCACAACAATGTGAAATAAATTTTTTGAAAAATAAAACTTTTGGACTTCCTGTCAAGATTGTGGTATAGGTAAATGCGGTATCGACCCCCACTCCAACCACACCAAAATTACAACCAAACTACAGCACAACCATCATTTAGAGCCACCTGAAATCAAGCAGAATGGAAATCCTACAATTACGAATCAGCCATTGGCAGATCTCTTTGTAGCTAATGCTGGATGGTCCAGGATAGAACACAGGCAGTGGCCGACCTTGCCCCCAAGCCAGCACACCCAGTGGACAGCTTCAGACCACATTGAAACAGCACCAACCAACCACATCCACAAGTGACACACTCAATGAGAAGACTCAGTGGGTACCAGAGCCCTGCTGATGTAACTCTTGCTCTGTGTGGTAGGCCCCTACACAGCTGATTCTCCAACAGAGTCAGAGGCGAATGGTCAGTGGGCACAGCAAGTCCTTTCAACTGATCAGCCTGAGTAAATCCCTCCCATTGACATGCCAACAGCAATCCAGACTCAATTACAACAGAAGGGTGTCCAGTCCACACTAGGGGTGTTCTTGAGGGCCCAGCTGGGGTTATCAGGGAGGCTGTGCCACTGGATCCTATAAGACACCTACAACAATAGGCTACCCTATGAAGCCTAGGAGACAAAGCAACTCTACCTAATACATAGAAACAATCATAGGGAAGCAGCCAAAATGAGGAGACAAAGAAACATGTCTCAAAAGAAAGAATAGAACAAAACTCTAGGAAAGGAACTAAAAAAAGTGGAGATAAGCAATCAATCAGATGCAGAGTTCAAAACACTGGCTATAAGGATGCTCAAGAAACTTAGCAATACATTCAAGGAACTTAGGGAGACCTTCAAGGAACTTAGTGAGAATGTCAACAACATAGAAAAGGACCAGTCAGAAATGAAGGATGCACTAACTGAAATAAAGAATAATTTACAGAGAATCAAGAGTAGAGTAGGTGAAGCCAAGAATCCAACCATCAATTTGGAATATAAGGAAGCAAAAAACACCCAACCAGAACAGCAAAAAAAAAAAAGAATCCAAAAACAATGAGGATAATATAAGGAGCCTCTGGGACAACATCAAGCATGCCAACATTTGCTTCGTAGGGGTGCCAGAAGGAGAAGAGACAGAACAAGAAATTAAAAACCTATTTGAAACAATAATGACAGAAAACTTCCTTAACTTGGTGGAGGAAACAGACATACAAGTCCAGGAAACACAGAGAGTCCCAAACAAGATGAACCCAAAGAGGACCAAACCAAAACACATCATCATAAAAATGCCAAAGGTTAAAGACAAAGAGAAAAATCTTAAAAGCAGCAAGGGAAAAGCAGTTTGTTACCTACAAAAAAGCTCCCATAAGACTGTCAGCTGATTTCTCAAAAGAAACTTTGCAGGCCAGAAAGGAGTGACTACAACCAAGATTACTCTATGCTGCAAAGCTATCATTTAGAATCCATGGGCATATCAAGAGTTTCCCAGACAAGAAAAAGCTAAAGGAGTCCATCATCACCAAACCAGTGTTTTATAAAATGTTATATAAAATGTTGAAAGGTCTTCTCGAATGAGAAGAAAAACAAAAATATGAACAATAAAATGGCAATTAATACATATCTCAAAGATACAGAGAACTTTTTGTTGCTTGCCAGATGGGCGGGGGTTTGGTGAGTGGGTGAAAAAGATGAAGGAATTAAGAAGTACAGATTGGTTGTTAGACTTATGAGCCTCAAAGGGAAGTGGAGGGAGGGTGGGATGAGATAAACCAAAGACCTTCTATGCATATATGCATAACCAATGGACACTGACAATAGTGTGGAGAAGGATGAAGGGGGGCGGGATTTGGGAGTAGGGGGTCAATGGGGGAAAAGGGGAGGGACATCTGTAATACATTCAACAATAAAGACAAGTTAAAAAAAAAAAAAAAGGAAAATAAAACTTTAGTGGAACAATCCTGAAGAATATACCAAAGGAACAATAGGTTACCAGTTTAAGGTACCAACCAATTTGTTTCAGCCAGGTTGAGTCCATGTTCTGAAAACTAAAACTGAGGTTTTCTTCCCATAATCCAAGACCTTCTACCATGTCAAATACATGTCCTATCTATGTAATGAAGTAAAGGAGATTTAGGTGAAATGTTTTTATTTATCACAACTGCTGTATCAGTTGCCTAAGACTTCAACAGCATCATGGAAGTCTGGGAAATGTTCACGCATAAGGTTATTGCCTTAGCTGACTTAAAATTGCCCCATACAGTGGTACATATCAACCCTTAGTGAAGCCTTTCAGAAATCAAACAGGTTGAAAATGGATTAAAGGGGGCAAATACAGCATGTGCCTTTAGAGCTATCAACTCAGGAATTCTCTCAATTATAAAATCTTGCAGAAAAGTTATTTTTCTTCCTCAAAATCCAGTGATGGCAACATTCTTTATTCCTGATCTGGCAATTTTTCATCATCACTGTCTTGTGAATCATCATCTGCTCCATCTTCTTCTGGTAAATCTACATCCTCATCACCACCCATGTTGTTCATTATCTCAGAGAAAAGATCAAAATTAGACATGTCTTCATCTGAATCATCTTCCTGGTCTTTCCAATTATTAAAGTCCACGCTAAGCCAATTAAGCATTGCCATTTCTTCTTCTTTTTTTCAATTAATTAATTTTGTTACAGATGTTTCTCCTCTTTTTCCCCATTGACACCCTCCTCCCCATCCCGCCCACCCCATCCCGGGCTTTGTTGTCCATGTCCATCGGTTATGGGTAAATGCATATAAGTTCTGTGGTTTATCTCTTCCCTCCCCCTCCAACCTCCTCTTCTGAGGGTTGTCAGTCTGTGCCCTACTTCCAACTTGGCCATGACTGGCCAGCTTCTCCTTTTCCTAAACAACATAAAATTGATCTGTCTGTTTTTTTATGCTTGGAATCATTTGGATTAATACAGCGAAAAAGACCAATTTCATTCAAATGTTTAAAATTATCACTTTCTCCAAGACAACTGAATGTAAGTTTGGATTTTTCAAAATTTACATTAACATCTTCACTGTCTTTGACACAAAATTCAATAAATACACAGTCCCTTCGATCCCACCACTTTGCAGAAGCAGGCTTATTGTGAATGGGGCAGGGGCACCGGTGAGTGGGAGGGTGGGCCTCTCCGGCGGCAGCTGCTGGGCAGTGGGCTAAACTCTAGTGGCGATCCTCCGTTCTCCCCGGTGCGGCCTCTTCTCGCTTCCCTGGGGCAGCAGAAGGCTCCACCTGGGTCCCCAGAATGGACCACGCAGAGAGAGCGAGAGAGCGGCTACTCCGGTTGGTCCGGAAGAAGGGGAAAGTGTAGGAAAAGGGACCCCAGGACCTAGAATGAACGTGCGTGAGTGCAAGCGAGGGCTGGTCCTTTTCATAGTGTTTGCAACAGTAACAATGGATGACATTATTGCTAATCAGTGTTTGTTTGTTTGGAAAATATAACATATGGTAGTCATATACAAAAAAGTTGAAAAATTCCTTTACTATTTCGCAATAAATTTTTCTTATACTTTGGCCTTTATGCTTTTGAAAATCATCCTGTGAGCAAACTGTTTCTACCACTAGACTTGCTGAAGACAGAAATATTAATTCGTTTAAAATGTTAGACATAGGTAGCTCTGAGTAAAATAAGCCAAGAAAAGCATATCTCTTTAAATAAATATCCCTATCACATATTTCTTCATTTTAGATTCCTGAAATAGTTTTCAATGAGAGAAATAATCCTGGACATTACTGTATATTCTGATACATAAATTATTTTAACTTTTTAGTTAAAATTAGCCACACTCCACTCAACTCTTTTAACAAATTTTTCACTTTTGCATATATGTGCACACATGGGATTCTGGCATGTGCTTCTTTTCGTGGATTCTTGTGTGTCATATATGTTTCCATTGCCACATGGTAGAGAAAAAATAAAAATGTGAATAAATTAAATATAATTTATAAGGTTTCAAACTAGCAAGGGACCACAAATTCTTAAGGTCTCATTTGGTCCACTAATTTAAAAATCATGTATTTGGACACAATTGTCCTTTTTCTACATGACAGGCTTTTGAAGAAAAATTGGTATTATCACAGTAATTCAGAGGTATTGTGGGCCTTCAAATGTGAATCATTGCATGTTGAACATCGGACAGGAACCAAACTAGGTGTTGTGGACCCCATAACTGTAACAGGGGAAGCCTAGAGACAATTTTGCCTTCTCGACAAGCTTCTTGACTGCATTTTTTACCTCCTTGTTTCTCAAGCTGTAGACCAGGGGGTTCAGCATGGGGATGACCATAGTATAGAACACAGATGCAGTTTTGTCTATATCCATGAAATGACTAGAGCTGGGCTGTAAGTAAGTGAAGATAATAGTTCCATAGAAGATGGAGACTGTAATGAGGTGAGAAGCACAGGTGGACAAAGCCTTCTGATATCCCTCAGCTGAGTGCATCTTCAGGATGGTGACAAATATAAACAGGTAGGATATCAAAATAGCCAGGAGAGCAAAAAAGATGTTGAACCTTGCCACAGAAACAAGAATCAACTCACTAACATGTCTGTCAGAGCAAGAGAGAGACATGACTGCTGGAACATCACAGAAAAAGTGATGGACCAGATTTGACATACAGAAAGAGAGGCTGAATGTGTCCCTAATGTGGACAGAGGCATTCAGAAAACCAAAGACGTAGGAACCTATGGCAAGATGTGCACACACTCCTGTCGTCATGGTGGTGGTGTAATGCAGGGGTTTGCACACTGCTGCATAGCGGTCATAAGCCATTGAGGCCAAGAGGAAATTTTCCACAGTGGCCAAGGCTACAAAAAAGAACATCTGAGCAGCACAGGCATTGTAGGAGATGATCTTGTCTCCTATAAGGAACCCAGCCATGACTTTGGGAGTAACAGTTGTAGAGTAACAAAAATCAACAAAGGACAGGTTGCTGAGAAAAAAGTACATGGGAGTGTGGAGACGAAAGTCCATGAGAATCAAGATGATTATGCCCAGGTTTCCAACCACACTGATCAAGTAGATGAGGGTGAACATTATAAAGAGGGGGATCTGCAGTTCTGGGACATTGGTTAGTCTAAGGAGGATGAACTCAGTCACTTCTGAATTGTTCTCCATGGATGATTTATGGGCACCACAGAATGCCCTGTAGCAATGAGAAAAACAATGAACACTTGGATTAATAAATACAGATTGAATAGAAATTGAAATGCATAGATAGAAAGATGATAGATGTACATTTTTACTATGGCAATAATTCTTACCTCACTATTCTTTTTTTGAGAATATGTGGGATTCCTTTTATTCATTCAAAGTTACACGTTCTTCATGAAAAAAAATATATCATTTTCTAGATAAAGATAGTTATGAAGTCTTCAGAAAAATAATTTTTTGTAATAACAATAATTAAAACAAGTTGTTGTTTTTTCCATTGGAAGACCAGACTTTTCAGATTTAAGGTCATTTTGTTCTCTATTTAACTATTTTTTATGGATTATTTTTATTTAGTTTTTAGAGAGAGAGAAAGGGAGAGAGAGAAACATCAATGTGAGAGAGAAACACCAATTGGCTGCCTCTCGTACGCCCTCCACTGTGGACCGAGCCAGGAACCCAAGCATGTACCCTGACCAGAAACAGAACCTGGACCTCTCAGTCCATGGGGCGATGCCTAATCCACTGAGCCACACCAGTTGGCCCATTTAACTATTTTTTACATTATTCATTCCCTTTTACTTTTCCTCCGTACACTGTTTAATCTAGATCTTACCCTATCTGGGCTACAATATCTATTCATATTAATTCTTACTTAATGTTAAACGGCGGCATGAAGAACAGAAGAGTAATTTCCAGCATTCAGATAGTGCAGAGTTGCAATGGGACTACTATAATTTGGTTTTATGCTAATACAGCCTAAAGTCATTTAAAACCTTTGAACAAATGCATCTGCCTATCAGGACTTTTAGAAATGATCTATTTCATTCTTTTCAAACACTGATGATTTTCTTTCAGTGTTTTTCCATTCTTTGTGTCCTCTGTCATACTATTTCTTTGTAAACTCACATTCATGCTCCTCCTACAATATTTGTTCTTCACTTCTTTGTAAATACTTAAAATTATCCCAACGGTGCTCTTACCTCATTATTATTTAGATCTAAAGGATGGCTTTCACAAAAACATTTAATGCATACATTACCCATAGAGTTACATATTATTGAAACGGACCTATTTTTATGAATTATTTCCCACCTACCAAATTTTGTAAATTTGTAAACTGATTTGTGTACACAAGTAATGTCTTGATCAAGATGACATATTTTGGAATAAACATAGGTGTCATTTTAGTTCCCTGAGCCTAGTGAATGCTTATACTTCTATGTTCTTATGTGCTAGGAAATGCTCTAGACATCTTATATCTATTCTTATATCTATATACATTGATTTTTCTCCATAGTTCTGTAAGATTGACTCGTTGTTGCCCTATTGAACTTATGAAGAACAGAGGTTGAGTAATTCATTTAAGTTTAAAAGTATTACTGTCAAAGCCATGTTGTGTACACAGACAAAGTGGTTCTTCAGTTCATTTGTCTTAACATATAAAATTGGACTTTAGTGCAACTTCCAAATACTCTTTATCTCTATTGGTCCAAACTCAGTGCTTGGGATTTCACAGTTAAGTAAATGAGACCTATATGCATAGTAGATGTGGTGGTAACTAGAGATGCAGAGACATGTACAACCAGCAGAGGCAGTTCTAAGGAGAAGACAGATAACATTGGGTATAGGGCTTTAGGATGAGGTACATATCAGCTCTACCATTTACTCCCCAAGTCTTTTTGGTTCCAGACTAAGTACCCGAATCTGATTTTCTCCATATATATAATGAAGATTGCAATGAGATAAATCTCACAGTATTATCCTGGCAATTAAATAAAATGATGGATTAAATACAATGAGTGAAATGTTGAGTGTATAGCATAGTCAGGTAAGTGTTTCTTATTAGGGATTCAGGTGTGGGTCAATTTTGAAGTCTTGTAGCCTATCTCTCTGATTTCCTTTCCACACACACCTGGTTCACTGAGATATTTTGTGTCCTCCATTGTTCCACAGTCTGTCCTTCCTCTGCCAGTATAAGTAGCTATTCTAGCCATTGCACATGAACCACTCTTTTGCTTAACTTCTTTCTTAAAATTAATATATTAACATGAGTTGAAAGAGTCTCCTCTCTTAAACTCTATTTATTTCGTTGCTGTCATCACATAGTTGAATCACAGAGACTGAAGGTTGAAAGTGCCTAAGTTATTGTGTGTCTGTAGCCTCTGGGTCTGTTTTGGTGTTGTGATTCATGTTTAAACTTTTAATAAAAATATATTATTTATATAGCAATGTTTTAAATCATTTAAATCTAAATTTGAGGGCTTTAGAAACACACCTATCATTCACTAACCATTGTTCTCTACCATTGTCCTCCTAACTTTCACATCTTCACTTACAAGCCTAGCTCCTGAAGTCATTAGTTTTTCAACCTTTGGCAATCATAACCATTTGCAGAATATAGCATGTTCTGCAAACAATAATGGAAGTTATATGCATATATTATTATATTTAGGTATGTGTTCACATACATGTATATGAGTAAACATACCTTTTCATTTAATCCTCGCAATAATGTTGTAAGGTAGATGATACTATAATTTCTATTTTACAATCATAAGAACTGAAGGATCTGGAGAGTATTATACTAAGTGAAATAAGCCAGTCAGAGAAAGACAAATACCATATGATCTCACTTATATGTGAAATCTAATGAGCAAAATAGATCTACAGACATAGAAGCAGCGAATAGACTGACAAACCTCAGAGGCAAGGGGGCAGGAAGAGATAAATCATAGAACTTATATGCATATATACATAACCAATGGACACAGACAATAGTATGGTGATGGAAGGGGTAGGGGGTCAATGTGGGAAAAAAGAGGGGCTATCTGTAATAATTTCAACAATTAAGGTAAATAAAAGTCAAATATTTATAAACTAAAATTAAGACAATTTTGATGTAAAATATGGGAAAGTAAAAAAAATGGGGTCATTTGGAATGATTAAAAAGTAAAGTCTCCAATCTCTGTTGAGTGGCATATCCATTTGGGCAAAAGAAAATACTGTGTCCTCAGTAGAGGGGAGAGAGAGAGAGAGAGAGAGAGAGAGAGAGAGAGAGAGAGAGAGAGAGAGAGAGAGAGAGAGATGAGGATTTAAGAAGCTGTGTAAAGCTCTACAATTGCACAGCTAGTATGAAGAAAATTCAAGATTCATGATTCAAATTCATGTGACCCAATCAAAAGCCTGTATTTTCAGTCACCTCACCATCAACATTTGTAGATGTATTAGTATAGTCAGGATGAGATTATGGGGTAAAGAATACAATGAATCTTGCTAATTCAATTACAACACTTCTGTAGTTTAAAGGAAGAATATTTCACTCTCTTCTGCCTTTTTTTTAAAAACCTCCAGTGAAAGGACAACAAGTAGTAAATCAGGTGAAATTGAGACTCATTCAGGAAGAGCATTACTTTTTTTTGCTAATCGTTTTTAGGAAAGCAACACAATGATATTCCACAGTATCACTATACTTAATAGTGATGAAGTTTCAACATTTAAACAACAGCTTTAACTCAGTGTTTAACAAAAAAAAGTTCAAAGCATCTAGTTATGTGCTCAAATAATTCATAGCAGGTGTGGATTTTGCATCAATTATAGTTCTCACTGAAAATGTATCTGAAACATAGAAGCTGACCTTGATGCTGATATGGAAGGGACAGTGCACCCTGAATAGTGGTTCTGAAATCTAAAATACATGGAATAATGCATATATACTCTTGGTGAAGTTCAGGTACTGGTCAAAAGATTTCAAAATCTCTAAGACAAGTAGAGATGGAGGAAAACCCCAACATGAAGTCAGAAACCTGGGTACAAGTCTTGAATCCATCCACTTACCTGCTTTTTGAGGAGTTGTTTGTCTTCTCCTTAGTTCTAAAATAAAGAATAAAATTACATCTCGCACATAATTTACAGAATTGTGCTTGTGAAAAACAAATGAAGAAAGCTCTGTAAAACAAAGATGGGTTATCATTTTGAAGTCAGTCAGTAGCACATTCAATTTGAGATGTGTTCCCTGGCCATGATCGCAAACTCATAGCGAACTCTCAGATCAGGGGTCAGAGGGAAGGCCTTCACCTACTAACAGCTATTAACATGAGGATGAGTAAATCATGACCAAGGGGACTCAGCACACAGTATGGTCCCTTTGAAATGATGCCATGTTGAGACATACTGGGATTTCAGAGGCAAATTTATGAGAGTCAGGAGGGAGTCATAGAGACAGGGAGTTCTTTGGGGATGTTCCCTGTGAGGACTTCTATAGCTCTCACCTGAAGGTCTTAGAAAAGAAGCAATTAAATTTCCTGTAGGAACCTAGCTCGATATAATGAAAGTGCAGACATGTTTTCATATTACTTGTTATTTCTTATTTTTTTCCTATTTTCTAAGTAAAATATAATTTATAAGCAACAATAGTAACAATAGTTTTTAGTGTATAAATCTTAAAGTTTGGTCAAATGCATATGGTCATGTAACGATTACCACGATCATCACATAGAAGAGTTCCATTATTTAACAAAACCTCTGAGCTTTTCTTTGTGATCAATCCCTTCTCCCACTCACTGCCCCAACCACTAACTGTTTGATCCATATAATTTTGTCTTTGAAAGAATATCTTATAAATAAAATCCTAAGGTATATAGCCCTCCTGTCTGGCTTCTTTTATTTAGTATAGTATATTTGAGATCCACTCATATTGTTACCTATGTTAATTTCTTAGAAAGCCACAGAAAATTACTGCAAACTGGGTAGATTCAACTACAAAAATTTATTGAGTCTAATCTGGAGGCTAGAAGTCTGATATCAAAGTGTCAGCAGGGTTGTTCTGTTTGTCCCTTGTGAATTCTATAAAAGAGAATTTGTTTCATGTCTGTCTCTGAGCTTTAGGGGTGTTTGCTGGCAGTCTGACATTTCTTGAGTTTTGCTGCCTGGCCATGATCTCTATCTTCATCTTCACACACTGTTTT